TACTTCAACAGTATAAGCCAAATTACTTGCTTTGCAATTTTCCTCTAACAGGTGACAACACGTTTTGATTTGGTCTAGCGCTTGTACGCTCCATAGGGCTGAATAGATCTACTTGCCATTCTGACTGCGAAGCACTTGCTTCTCATCTGCGGTTCGTTTTGCTTAATTCAACATCCACATATTTACAGCCAATTCATAATGCCGCACCACAGGTAGAAATGTTTTTGCAAAACGCAGTAAGGTGCCTTGCCATTTATGTGGTGCCGGTAACTCGCACTTACTTGCAAAGCTTTATGTGCAATGAGAATCCAATTCTGAATGTTCTAACTAGTGTAAAACAACAGGCCATGAAATGCAGTTTGTAAGTCACTGCCGAGGAGGAGTGTGTCTTATCGCCCAAATATCATCGGGAAATCTTCGCATTGGAGTCGTAACAGTGCATAAATGTTAACCAGACACAGTAAACCGCCACAACGAGTCATTCAGATGGCGCTTTAGGCTAGATACATGAAAGAGGTTCTAGCATCTAAATAAGGCTCAATTTAAATAAATAAATAAAATGTATATTCATCGACGATGCAATAACCTGTCCCCTAGGAGGAACAGATCAACTATTGTTACATCCTTTTGGTGCCATTACATTAATACTTTTTTAATAATAAATATGGGACCAAGTTTCAGATATAAGTACCACAAAGTGATCAGAAGCGTTCTGCTGTTTTTCTCTGTAGTTGAAATAGGGTGCCGCACAATCACATGATAGATATACGGGCTGAAGGAAATGAAATGTAACAGGTTGTGGTCAAAAATCGTATGTGTTTTGAAATTTATTCAGGCACCATCTGTACCATTTTCGACGCGGTATCTAGGGATTGTGACGTCCCGAACATATTAATCAAGTTTTGGATGGTTAACGACTTATTAAGCGAAAGCTTAAAATTACGCAATGTAGAACAAGTTGTGATATCGCTCGGAAGTTTATTCCAAAGTTTTGAGCACCGAATTAGAAAAGAACGTTTTCTGATCCGCGTAGTAAATTTTGGAATAATGACTTTTCTCACTTTGTTAGGGATTGAATATCTGTTGTTTAAAGATATCTAAACGCTGTCATAAAAACTGTGAATTGGACGGTTTTTGATTCTTTAAAGAAAACGCAGGTTCAGCTTCTTTCTCCAAAACCAAACTGGGTCAAATCCAAGTTTATCACATCGCTCCCTGAACATCAACTTTGAGGAATATCCACACAGCTTGTTCGTGAAGCGTCTCTGGACTATCACAAGAGCGTGCTGGTCAGATTTCCGTAGATTAGACTGTACCATTGAACAGTATTCCATACACGGCAATACATATGTTTTATGAAGCGATATGCGAGATTCCATGAGGTAAAAATGATGGCAGATATAACCGATGGTCTTCATGGCTTTCAAAACTTGAATGTCAAGATGTTCAGAAAAGATAAAAGTGATTGAATATCGCACCCCAAAGTCCCAAACTGTCCTGCATTGCGAGATATATTCGTCTTGTCTGGCGGTACTTGGCATTTGTACGACCAAATATTGCACTTGTCCACGGCAAATAACATCGTCCACAGTTGGCACCAAGAATCAAAGGCAGATAGGTGATCTTGACTGAGACGTACGGTTTCCTGAGTATTAGCTCGTGGTTGCCAGTAGATAACTTTAATATCATCAGCAAAGATAAATGTAACACCACTTCTTATTCTCTGGAATATATCATTAATATATACTGGAAAAAGGAGAGGACCGAGAACATTCCCTTGAATCACTCCACTGATGATCGCTTTCGGTTTGGAGAAATGGTCGCCGATTTACACCAATTCGATATAAAAACAGCCAAGAAAACATCGGTTCTCTAATGTCTATAGTCTTCAGTATGTTCAGTAACCTTCTGTGAGGCACTCTATCAAAGGCTTTTTGCAGGGTTACAACACTGTTTCCGTTGTCTATGGCAGCTGTTGTGGGGTTTAAAAAGTCAGTCTGGCATGTTGCACAGGATCGACCTTGCATGAAGCCGTGTTGCGAATTGCAGATGATGTTAACCTTGTTCAAGAATGCAAATACTTCATCTTTCGCTATTCTTTCCATTATTCTAGATACGATGGGATAGATGGGACGAAAGTTTTAACCTCGTGTGCAGCGCCATTTTTATGTCGCGGGATAACGACAGTTTTCCACTGAGTAGGGTATACTCCGTTGTTAAAAGAGAGTGTAAAGACGTTGAGCAAAAGCAGCAGGAAGTCACTACCACTGCTTTTTATTAAACAAGTGGGATCCCATCAGGGCTTGCGCATGTTGAGGAGTATAGCGAGCGACTTGACCAGTGATTTTCGCTATAGTGAATTCCACTGTGCATAGGCCTTCATTATTGTGCGGCATGATAACTGTTGGTGTGTCTGATAATTCATTGAGCATTGATTCGGCCAAATAAGCACTGAAAGTTTCGAAGATATCACCTGGTGCGTCGTAGTATGTTCCATCAGGCGTGGTGATAAAATTATTGTCGCTGCAATGCGAACCCCCGGCACGGTATAATTTGGCTGGCTCGGCTGTTTGGCTAGGGCCGTTTAGCGTTTTATACTCTTGTAATAGTATGCTAGTTTTATCACTGTAATTCCTCTGTTATTCGACAAGATAGGGCTGCGCAAAGTAGGCGGTTAACCTGCATTTCTGTGGAATCATATGAAGCCTTCTCGCTGCCTTTAACACTTAGGCGGCATTTGACCAAGTGATGGTCGCTCTTGGGAAATTCATCAAGAACGTCCGCACTGCTTGAAGATATGCTTAAATAATAATGAGATCAAAGGTACCTTTACCTCTGGTAGGTTGGAAGACTTGTTGCTGCCAACCATTCTTCTGGATACATAAGATAAGATTTTTACACTTCAAATGAGCGGTTCCCACGGACCGTGAAATCGACGGCAGATTGAAATCATCTCCAATAAACTTATGTATAAATGGTAGACTAGCGGGGCATTCAAATGCAAACGTTAAAAGTTCTAGGTCTTCTTGGCTGCGGTTCGGAGCGTTTTATATACATCCCATGAGCAGCTGCTGCTGGTTAACAGATATCGTAAGCCTTCGTGATTCCCGGACATCGTGCAGTGACCCCAACCACGTATGCCGCCATTTGCTGAAACTTAGCCACAACACGCAGCTCAGGGGTAACTGCTTAAAGTTGGAGGAACAAAATAGCCGTCTAGAGTGTCGACGGAATTACTTTTCCCTTCGGGTTTGCAAACCATGGAACGCACTCCCAGACTCAGTAGTATCCTCTCCTACCCTGGATGTTTTCAAAAAACGATTAGATGTTGCTTTCAGCTCCCAACATTTTGTTACCTAAACTCCTCTGTTGTGGATTACGCCAAGCATGTTTTCAACAGGACTAATGTATCAAATGGACCTAAGTGAGCGACCATATTTTATTTTCTCACTCCTTACCTCAACTATCACTGCGCCCCAGTGTCTTTCTGAATGTTTACGCGTTATAACTTGTTTTCATTTTACACTGATGTTAATTATCAAAGTATTCATCTCGGCAGACGTTCGATAGATGACCCAGACATATTTTAATTGCATCATATTCATATTCACCGCTACCATCCTACGGGACGTGTCAAGCACTTGCTTTTATCCCGTGATAAATCATTGTTCATTGTTCATTGTTCATCAATGAATCCTTGAATGTTGCTGCTGCGTGTTTTTTTCATATAAATTACACAGCCACCAACCCGACGAATAGGGCGATTTCGCATAAACTTGTCATATCCGAAAATAGGTCAGTGATGGTCAGACATGTCATCATGGCACCAAGATTCAGTTATAAATACTATATCAGGATTATTCAGCAAAACAAATGAGCGTAGTGTGTGGATCTTAAAGTGAAGAGAACGAATGTTTATCAAAAATACTGAATTAGTTGTGGGATTTGAGGAAGTTTGTTTTGGCTGTGTTATAAACACTGGGGTATCAAACCGCCTGCCTGGACCGGGGCTAGAAATTGTTGAAAAAGTGCGTACATCGCCAAAGGTGGAAAATGATTTGGAGGTGGCCACCGCGTAGAAGGTTGCGACTGACTATGGCCCTCTAGAAAATTGTTCGAGGAAAAGTACCCATGGTTGTTGTACTAGCTTTTGAGAGCTGGAGAGTTAAGTTGTGTTACCTGCACCATGCCACTAATAGGCTGTTGAGTAAGTAAAGCATGGATAGGAGTCAGTGGTCAGCTGCCATTCCTATCCTTGGGTAAAATCCGCTTACCTGCGTCCTATACAAAAGGCTTCACTATACGCGGTGGAGGCACACTGGTGTCAATCCATACACTACCATCATCATAATCCGTGTGATTCGTTGATGGAATCGGAAAGTCGCGATACCCAATTGCACCGCGTGTAAGAGGCAAAGACGTTGAAACGTCTTCTATAACTTAATCACCAATGGATGTAGGTCTATCAAAACAAAGTGCCGATACAGTGTCGCGCAATCACGCTTGCGATACATCTAGGTCAACTGTCCTTTTACTATAGATCAATTTGACCGAACCCAAGGATATTCTTGATGATGTCATGGTTAAGAATGGGTCAACAATGTATTTCCGAATGGCTAGGTAGCATATCCTTAACAGGTTCCTCACCCAATCTTTGTAGTAAAAGGACCAAAGGATAGTTTCGTTGCTGGTTATTCAGCAGCTATAAGAGAATAACTTCCTAGATGGCTTTGAAGGCTCCAAAGAATTTAAACCGGGTTTCAAAACCAGAATTCGTGTTTAGTTTTATCCGGTAGCGAATGAGGAATCATCTTTATGTACACAACCCAGGAATGTTTTTTTGGTAGTTTTAAATTATGCGGTTATTTAACAATACCCATTACCGTTTTACATAACAAGGCAGTGCACCAGTAAAATTCTCTCTTGCCACTTCTTGCCATTTGTTCAAAGCATGCAACAAACAATCCCTTATTTTTCATCTCTTTATGGTCTCTTATCAGGTTACAAATGCGTGATAACCTCTGGAAAGGTAAATCCATTTAAAGCTGATATTATCCTTCCATTTGCAACACTTTGCCTGTTTATTTGCTGCAACCTTACTCGCACATGCGCAAGTTGGTCAAATGAATCAGCTTTTCGTGAAAAAAGAAACTTTCGAGTTGATCTGGACAAGCATGTACTATTGAAGGACGGAAAACCTTTTCAGTATATATCTGGAAGTCTTCATTATTCTCGAATTCCCCTATCTTATTGGGCGGATCGACTACAAAAAGCAAAAGCTGCTGGTCTTGACGCGGTTCAATTGTAAGTTTCCTTTAGACTTCCAGTACCATGATCAGCAGACTGCTTCTAGTGCTTCATGGTGAAAGGCTCGTGTAGTTGCTTTATCATTAGTACTCAACCACTTAAACGTGCTTTTACCAGTGCGGTACTTTTTTAGTCGGCATTTACATGCATTATTCTAGTGGTTCTCTGGTGATAGTGGTATATGAAAAAGTCTGTCTATTCTCATGGAGTAAACAAATGGCTTTAATTTGACAAAAGTTTAAGGCGCAGCTATGTTCGCTCGAACGATAACGCACTTACAATGAGGAACTCCCAGATTGGAACGCTTCCATTCAGGGCTCTCTAACAGACTTGTTGAGGCGTGCGTCTGCCATTCGGCTACACGTAGACTTCTTGATTACAGGTCACAAATAAGTCGAACTGTTTCATCTGCATCTTACCTTAGTGCTTGATGAGTATTTCCAAACTGCGGGATAGCAAACAAACCTCAGTGTTCTTGATTTACTCATCTGTGAATAGCAAGTAGTAGGTGGCGCGGCCACACTCTCTTTGCAGCTGTTTTTAGTCGGCGAACTGAAATTGAACATCCATTGAAGAGGCAAATTAGGACCATTAGTTCTGGAAAGCCACTACTCATCCAAAACCTGAAATGGACGCATTTAACTCTAGTCCAGTCCAGTTAAAAAGTATGACCCGGGAGTGGAAAATTAGTATATCTAGTTGCCACAACTCGCTTTGCCAGGATGATAAGAAACACCAAAGGTGAGAAAATGAGCCTAAATGCAGGCGGAATATAAGGAAAATGAAACCAAGAAAGAAGTGTCTAACACTGATAGGCACGGAAAAGTGATGGGTGGAGGAGCGAAACCGAATGCAGGGACGCCACCGACTGTGCGACTGCACCGGATCTGATAGGGTCTCCAACCATGGATATGCACCGTCCCGGGGATCCAATCCACATACCAGCCTGAGCAAGTTTTGCGGTCAGTTTCTTCATGACTTTTTCACTTAATGAGCTGTCCACCTAGCGGATTCGCCCAAATTGACGGAGCGACAGCAAGTAATACATTCCAAGCAATGCGGTTAAAACGCATATGGAGGACGTGCTTTAGTCTCAGTAAACACTCGAGTGAGGCACCAAAGTGTTTCTCCCACAAATCGACTGGCAGACCTCAGCATCCATCTCCCGGTGCTCCCACCAGAGGTGCACAAGACTCTGCAAACATTGGTGGTCAAAGACGTTCAAGCGTTTAATGTCTTCACTGCGAACTCTCCAGGTATCTGATCCACAAAGTAACACCGGCCTTATCGCAGCGTTCCGGCACTTATCTTTCACTGACAGCTTCATGTCCCACCGTCTTCGTGGATAGTTGAGCTTCTGGAAAGCCACTAGAGCCTTACTGATAGGCGAAGTAACTTCGGTGAAGTGACCATCAAACGAAACACTTACCAAGGTAGATGAACCGACCCACCGCTTCCAGTGATTGTTCGTTGGTAGCTAGAACCGGTGGCATATCGTTCAAGTCCTGCAACAGTACTTGGCACCTTGAAGATCCAAAACATATAGCGAAACGTGCAGTGCTTTGCACCAGTCTATATTCAATAATGCATGCATGAGCACTGCGTCAGACCTAAGGAGAGCTTGTGGTCTGCATACTCCAGGTTTGTCAGTCGGTCACCTGGCAGAACTTTTACGCTGGTAGTGTCTGAACGAACTGAGCCATTTACGACTATCTCGATAATAAAATTGAAGAGGAAAGGAGATGTAGGACAACCCTGGCGAGCCCCGCTTGCCGTGGGAAATACAGAAGCCAGCTTACAGTAAACCTTTACACTACTTTCGGTGTCAAAGTGCAATGGAATGATGATGTATTATGGGTAAAAAATGCAATGCTTAACAAGTCTCGTGTAATGGGAATTATTGGGGAAATAAATCTTCATGATACTGGAAAATGCGTTTTGGCGGACTCACCATAGACACGTGTAGAAGAGCTGAGATGTTCGCGCGATAAACGTATAAATCCGTAAGTCCATTGGTTGATAGTTAGGTAAGACACCGTTTGGTCGCGTTTTGTAGCCATTGGCGAACAAAAGTTATCAAATGAAATGTCAATGGGGCAACCCATCGTCGTTTTTGTTTTTTAAAATCGTT